GGGTACAATATAAAGTAATCAGTGGTAGATCACATAGAAGTTAAGAATCTTAAAAACTTGAGTCTTTAGTCTGAGAACTTGTTTAATGTATTAAGCCAGCTGTTATGAATATAATTTTTGCATTGACCATTTTCTGTTATTATTGAAGTCCTTCCCATCTCCCTTGGATGATGTCTAAGTACTTTCAATTTACAGGAAACATTTTAGTGGCACATCAAATTGTAGAAGTTAAGTTTCCATATGGAAATTCTGAGCAAACTTTAGAGGTTCCTGGTAGCATCAGCATCTGCAACACTTTATGTATTCTGCAGTTGATATGAAGCTCATGAGGGTGGAAAGGAGCCGGCTAACTTCGGTTCCTAGAAGCCAGATGCACACTGAAAATAACACTAATTTGTGTTCTTTTATTTTGACAATTTTATTCAGCTTTGCATTGTGCTTATACAAGGTTGTAATGTTAGTGTTGGAGGCATGAATTTGCAGGGTTTTTTTTTTTAAGCTTGAAATTTCCTGACACCCCATACATTCTTTTGCATTGGCTCCACATGACGCTGTAATTATTTAACACTGAGGCAATCCTAACAGATTATTTTAAGTGAGTTAAATTGGATTCTCACTTGCCAAGGTCTTAACACCTGAGTCAGCCAGGACAATTAAATCCTCGAATGCTTTTGGGAATAAGGGTGACAGGCTTGTTGAGATTTAACTTTCTATAATGCAATATTTATGGTGAGCTAAAACAGGATTTTGATCTGAATAGCGGGTACTAGCAAGTGTCTTATGAGTAATATTTAGACGTGAGAGCTTGTTGGCAATAAGTATGTGTAATTTGTAATTTGCCAGTATACTTCAAAATACTGTGGTTGTCTGACTCGAATATGCAAATATTTCCTTTGAAATAGATTGACACTTCTACTAGTGACTTATTCAATTTTAAAGTCACAGCAGAGATGAGATTTTATCTGACAACCCTAAAAGCTGGTAGCTGGGTAAGAAAGACATATAAGGTCAAATCTGGTTTTGGGCAAAAGCTGGATTCATAGTTTTAAAAGAGACTCTATAGTTTTCTTTCACGGTCATAATACAGACAGGTGAGGGATGGCAAGGCCGAGAGGGCCACCTCAGTGTGGAGAATTTTAAAGGAGCTTTTGTGTGGTTGCTGCTTTCACCACCCTGCTCCTCCAGAAGGACCAGTGATGACTAAGGATGCTGCTACTCGCATATGAAATTACAATCTGTAACAACTGGGGTTGTTGTGTTTTGCTGTCTGAGGGACCATTTCTCTGGTAGCACAGCTGGGCTCACAGGGAAAGCACAGAGTCTGGAGTACTGACTTTTTTTTTTTAATCTGAGGGCATAAAGAGAAAAGGACACACAATCTTGATGGTTCCCTTCAGACCTTGTCCTTATTCTTCTGTATTCTCTTCTTTATTTTGCTAGTAATTTCCCTCTCTCATTCTTGATGTGTTCTTTCTAATTCTCTTTATTTTTCATATTTCCCTTATCACTCTATGTTTATTCTTCCTTATTCCCTCATGCTTTATGTTTTCCTTTCAACTCTACCTTGATTGTTGATGTGTTTCTTCAGTATGCTTACACATGGGTGGGGGAGGGGGTCAGGAGAAGGGGAGGAGGGATGTTTTAAGTGCAAGTCATCAAGATCATTGGTGTTTTCATTGGGACTTAAGATCACAGGTCTTAGTTGGGGAATTTATTTTATATGTGTGCTGCTTTTATTATTCTGAGACTCTTGGCTTCAAATGTTATTGTCACTGTTACTCAGTTCAATTGTTACTCTACGTTTACATCTGCACCAATACTACCAGTCACAATGAGGGGAAACAGCTTAAAATTTAGTCTGCCATTACACCTTGTCCTTGAAGACCAAGTTGCTTAATATTACAACGACTTACAATAAGTTTTCCCCTTAAACAACCAACTCAATTTAGAGATAGGTAGATTTGTTTTATTTGGATTTTAAAGTTTAGGAATTATTTTATTGACTAATTTTTGGAACTTTTGCACACTTTTGTATTCAAATCTATGAACAGAGTATATATTTTGATATATGTCTTTGAGACATATATCATTTGCCTTCATGAGACATACACTTAGATAAATGATAGTCTATTTCAGACACCTTTCTCTGTTTTGTTGTTTTCACTAACTATATCCTAGGGGTCATTCTATTGAATTAGGGAAAGATGAGTGTCAATATTTTTCCATTGATACATACACCTGCTACTCATTTAATATCCTCTTGATGGTATTGGTTTTGCAGTAAAGTATTACAATGAATGTGATATATATATATATATATACATATATATATATGTACACATACATATATATATTTGTTCATATGCAGAAATTTAAATATTTAATTACTATGACAAAATACAAATATATATGAAAATTTACAGGATGCTGTCAAATTTCCCTCCACAGATGTTGTGCCATTTAACAAGTGATTTTCTTAACATACCAAAAGGACTGTCTACTTTATTTTGCACACTGAATATACAAAGTATGTGTTCTATTTCGCGCTACACTCCAAGCCCCTGAATATATTTACACACAATGTAAACAGCAAGCATGATCTAATGCTACCATTATCAATCATTATCTACATGTGACTTGCTAGTTTACTCAAGCTGCTTTTCCCAGACACAGTTCTTCATGCAATTGCCTTATCTTGATGGGGTATTCTGTCACCAGCTAGTATCTACAAAATGACTCCACTATAATACAAACTTGTGAATATTCAAACATATTCTCTTTTCTGAAATTCTACTGCATGAGGCAGGCTTTGATTCCACATCTTTCACCTTTACACTACAAAATTTGACAGTAGAGATTACAAATCCAGCCCGGGTTTATACCTCACAGTAGGCATTCGCTCCTGCTATAACCCATATATGCGGAAACTACCTTCCCGGACACAAATTGACTTTCAGACTGCACAATAAAATATGCTAAATACCCTTTTAAATAAGTATTGAGATTTACTTCTTCAGAGACTCTTAGGATGGACAGACAGACTCATCTGCCTTAAAGTTGTGAGGGGATTCGTGCTGCTAGAACTGACAAGACCCCAAGTAGCAGTTTTTATTCCTAAATCTGCTTTTCTTTATTGGTAGTGGAGGAAGAATTAATTTTAAAAGGCGGTGGCTATTGATTACTTAATGGAAGAATATACTGTCAAGAGATGCTGAAGTGAATCTACTCTGTGCCCTCCCATGCAACAGGCCCCATTATCTAGTAGCGGGATAATGTAACTCTCATTAATATGTAATAGGCGGCATCAGGCTGCATATAGGCTACTGAATTGCCATAGGCCATAAGAATGTCTCAAGTATACAACAGAGTGGCAGATGTCCTTGATGTATTCATCTGTAAGCAGGACCACAGTTTCCTCACTTCCCTCAGTCCTCGGATAGATGATGGTTTGATGGAAACACCGTCTAGGCAAGTCAAAGTGATCCGTGCTCTAAGTACATGTCTAGCTGGGTAAGCTCTGTGTGAGATGACTTGGTATTTTCCAGTGGGAAACACAATTTCAGCTATCTCAACTCTCCTCTCCCCACACACATGAAAAACTCTGGGCTTGTTCAACAGGGGAGGCAAGTCAGATAAAAGGGATTTTGTCTGCCACAGCCATCGTCTGTGGACCAGTATTCTGGAGCAGAGAGACTATCAGGCTAACCACTCATCACATGTCCAGGACCTTTCTCATTTAAATAGTTTCATAAGGGAAACAAGGAGTTTTAAAGGCAGTGGTGGTGAGATGTGTCTACAAATTAGTCTAAGGACTAGGATTTTCCTGGCAAAGATTGGTTAAAGTGAGCTCTGCTTTCTGAGTGGACAAGAACAAATTCTATAGATTACTGACTACTGGTATTAACCTTTACTCAAATTACTAGGTTACCGTCTCAGTAAAATCTACTTATTTCTAAGGTGGATTTCCTTGAAATGATATATATTCTTAGGACAAGATATCTTCTTTGGAATTATAGGCCACACACACACACACACACACACACACACACACACACACACACACTTGCACGTATGCCTACACAATAAAACGAGATACCCACAATCCTGAACAACACATAAAATCAAATTGGTAGTAAGAAAGTCAATTTTTTGAATCAGTGATTTTGAAGAATTTTGAAAATGTATTCAGGACAGCCATTTACTTTGAAGCATTTTAAGATTGTTCATAATTAACTACCTAGATTGACTTTGCAAAAGAATATAAATTTTACTCTCCTAACAACATGTGAAGTTTGTCCTTGAAATCAGTGAGGGAAGTTGACCTGCCCAATGTAGGAAGGGAAATGGGATCTCAGTGCAAGTGCATGTGAAAGTTGAAGAATTTACTCGCAAGCTTACACCGAGCATGCGTAAAAGTTCAGTTTATTAATAGACCCACGTCTACCCACTTTTATTCTAATTTCCTGGCAGAGAAGTTAAAGCTAAAAAAATTTACTAGTGCAACATGTACTTGTGTTAATTTTGTTTAAAAGCAAACTTATCTTAGGAGGCAGAAGAAAGCTCATCACTCAAACAATTGCTTTTTTTCATTATGGTTGTGTCTTCATTGGTTGTTAGTTTTGTTGGCAAATACTGCCTGCTCTTTCCTAGTGCAAATAAGTTAGTATTCAGCTTACTTAAAGAAGGCTCAGTTTAGAAGCTTCAGAGGCTTCAGTGGCTTGTGTCTAGAAATTACTACTGTAAATAAAGTTTTAAAAATTAACCAAGGTCTTAACCACTATTACATAAATCAAAAGAAGACAGTTTAGCAAGACATTTTAGCAAGCTTTATTATAAAAATATGAATGATATTTATATCTTCAATGGCTTTTGAGAGTTCAAGAAGGACTTTTCATAGGTTACATATTCAAAACACATTTCTGAGAAGCTGTAATAAATCTATTACATTCAGTTGTGAGCATCACAAGCCTTACGTTTCTCACCCTTTTCCAATCTTACAGCGCAGCAGCAGTTTTGGGAATTTTGATCGTTTTCGGAATAATTCCATATCAAAATCTGATGACTCAACTAAGGTTAGTATTTTTATGTCTTTATTAACACGATGATAGCATATTATAAAATTTTCTAATGTTAGGTAAGGAAATTAGACACATTTTCAGAATTTTGAAATAAATGAGCAATTAGGGCCTAGTACCATGCTGGGAATTTAGAGGTAAACAGCTATCTAAGAAATCTGCTCAGGATTTGGACAGAACATGAATTTCAAACTAGTTATAATTTAAAGATTGTTCTAATTCAAAATTACATTGACAATTCCAAGTCTCCTGAGTATTTCCATGCTAAAGCAATGCACATGCATGAGTTGACAGCATGCAAGTTGTTATACCGGCTGGGGTGGTCATTCTGCTAAATGAGTCACTTCTAGTGTTTGCATCAAATGTCTTACTGGTTACAATTACATGAATATTTGTAAACTTGCACACTTTGTGTCTGTCTTAAGCAAAACTCACCATAACATTAAATTTTGTGTGTAATAATAATGGCAGTACTAATGATAGCTATATTTAATTGAGTGCTTGTCATGAAGGAGGTATAGTGCCATCAATTTACTTAGGGAACTATGGGTGTTTGAATTTCACTCTTGAAAGGATATATCTGTTCACTGAGCACAATTGCTTTTCTAGTACCGAGTTAACAAATGACAAATGAAGGACTCCACCTCTTTTCTGACCTTGATGTCTATCATTCTGTTATACCATCTTATTTATTGGGTGCAACCTGGGACAGATGACTAAAGAAAGTTCCGGCAACTAATTAAATAATAATAATGAGTCACACTGAGAAAACTAAGAATGCAGCACATACATATTTAATAATAATCCTAATCCACACCCTGACCCTAACTCAGTGAACTCACCAACAATTGCTTTGAGATAATCAGGTTATGTAAATCTTACATACAAATGCATCTATTATAACATTATTTTTATTTCAGCAAGGAATATTCTAGATAGAAAATATAATAAAATTTCACATGTTTTTAATATATCGATTTATACAAACACCTTTATGTATAATATATATTACATATAACTATATATTTTTTATATATTACATATATATATATATAATTATATAATATCCCTGTCTTGGTTTCTTTTCCTGCTGTTGTGATAAAATATCCTGCCAAAAGCAACTCTAGTTAAGGATCAGTCCATCGTGGTGGGAAAGACAAAACTGAAGGAGCTTACTTAAAAGAGCAGGTCATATCACATGCATAAAGTCAAAAAGTTGAGAGCAATGAATGCATGCTCAGTAAAGCTCAGCCAGGGAATGGTAGCTAGCATGGGTGGCTCCTCCCATCTCAACTATATAACCAAGATCATCCTGCACAAGCATGCACAGAGGTTCAATGCGTAAGTGATTCTAGATCTTGCCCAATTGACTATAAACATTAACCACTACAATTACTTTCTACTCTCTACATATTTATGGGTGATTATATATAATAACATATGTACTCACATACACACATATACATAAGTACTTGTTTATGTGTGTGTATATACATTTGTGGATACACAAAGGGGGACTTACTTGTGTGATTTTATTTTCACTTAGTATTTTGTATAAACTCTTAACTCTAAAACCATATACATCTGTGTTCTGCTGCTATTTCAATTCTAACAAAGTATCTCAAGTTCATTCACTGTCATTGGAATAAGTAGTAATGGCCTGGTAATTTTCTAAAGCGTTTAGCAGAGCAGATAAAGTATTTTTCCATATTTCAGGAAGTCAGATCAATTCTTCATCCTTTTCAGAGATACCTTCACAATGACAGGGTTTCTGTTAGCTACTTTAGAGTACTGTTGCAAAGAAAGAAGGAAATGCCTGCTTTGTAAGGTCTGGACTCTGGCAGCAATATCACTTAAAAAGATGGTCACAATAACAGAACTGTAAATTCTAAACAGAAATCTAGTTCAGGCTATGGAGCTAACTTCACAGAAGAGAAAACTGATTTAAAATATATGGAGACAGTTTCTCTGAACCTTTATAAGTAATGATGGGAAAACCAAACAGTATTTGTATTGCATTATTTGAAACTTAAATAATAATAACAATATCAGTTTTAACTAAAACTATGTTTCCATATTTATTTCTGTTAGTGAAATAATTTTACAGTTAAAATGAGAAAGTTTAAGCAAAGCGAAGAAAGAAGAAAAAGACTAACCTTAGAGTGCTTCCAAATTATATTTTATTCTGGTATTTTGAATTAAGCAAAGACTATGTATGCCTTTATACCCTTGAATGTAGAAATTAATAACGTACAATGAGGTTTTAAATTGGATGTCCATTCGTATTTGTCAGAGGCAATTTGGGCTAAGATATGAAGCAAAATATAATATTGATTAATAATGATGTTAACTGTGTGGTTAAACTCTCATATTAAAATATGCGAGCTCACTAATCAGAAGTTTCCCATCATTTTTTATGTTCTGGGATGACTGACCAACCACCTATCGAGCATGGTGGGCAGTACTAAAGCAGATAACTGTCATAGTCATTGCTTGCATAACTGAGGTACATCTAATCCAAACACGTCCTCTAGGGGAATGGGAAAAAATACCCTAAATTTCCACATCAGAAATTTCATTTATTTAGAGGATACTAAGCACCAGTTAACATATCTTGAAGTACTCTTGGAACTAGAATGAAGTGTACAGAGAAAGCCTTTATCCTCATAAACATGCATCATGTGGGAAATGCAGATAATCACTAAATGAAAAAATAGATTTTCAAATAAAATCAGTGTAGATAATATGAATAAATCAGGTAAAGCAACAACAAGTATGGAGAAGTATGGAGAATGATGAATCAGATAGCTTTTTTCCTGTTACTATACATTAGATGGAAATCTGGGTAGCTTATGAAATCTGTGGCTATCTAGAGGTAGCCATGGCAAAACCATATCCAAACTGAGATGAGAAAGAACCTTATACAGTAAAGGAGATGCACAGTCATTGCATAGTTTGTTATCATTTACCACAAGTTTTATTATGTATCTGTAAGTCAGAATCACAACAAATGACTTGTCATAAACTGTCCCCAAATATTGAAGATACTGTTTTGTAAAAAATTCTTGAAGATATTTTTATTTACATAGATTCTATATGATGTAACACATGTTTTGTAAACATAATATTGATTAATAATAATGTTAATTATGTGGTTAAACTTTCAAAATAAAGCATTTAAGGTCACTACAAAGACATTTCCCAACATTAATTATATCATACCACATTGATTATTATTATGCTATTGAGCTTTGTAGGCAAGCACCAATACTTGTATTTTGTTCATTTAGTATTTTGTATAAACTCTTAACTCTAAACCATATATAGCTGTGTTCTGCTACAATTTCGTTTCTAAGAAACTTATGAAAGTATCTCAAGTTCATACATTGTCATTGTTTTGTTGCTTTATTAGGAAGATTATTAATGAGCACAAGTTGACAGCAAACCAAAGACTTACTTATTACATATATGCAATATGTTAAACATGTTAGGACTTCTTTATTGCTGGTTTGAGCCGGTTAATATTTACTATTATTTAAAGTAAACATTGAGCATGTCAGATGAAAACTAGGTAGATTTCAACTGATTTAATTCTTTAAAACTTCTTGAAACATCACTATAACCATGCCAATCTCTTTGAGATACAAGCAGCTATTGTAATGGTCTTTCACCACAGAAGGGTGATAAAGGGTTTTGTAATTGTTCCAGTAAACTATCTCCCATCATATAGCTATAACCTCTCATGTTACCTGATGGTTACTTCTGTTTTGATCATGTCCAAAACAAGAGTTAAAATGATCAATAAATAAAGCATTTTAAACCATAGCTGAAATTCTTGAAGTATTTCATGTGCAAAGATGAGAACTTTGAAGCAAGTGTCTGAGGCAGGTAGCCAGCCTGGAAATGTTTAATGATATGTGTTATGCCCAGAATGTGTATAGCACAAAATGCACAGAAAATCCAAATGGGATTCTCTCTAAGGAGGTTCTCTGTGAATGCTTGTAGGGTTGGACACAGGGCTTAGTTGTGGTGCCCTTGCCTAACATGTGAGATCCCTAGCGCTGTAAAACACTGGACTCGAACAAATGATCTTTTCTTCCTTATCACTTCATCTTTTCTTTTGAAAAAATTCTACATCAGGTCCGCGAAGGGGAACTAACAAATGGAAGCAAAGAACAAAATAAAACTTCAAATACTGGAGGAAATCTAGGTAAAAAAATGAGAGCCATTTCATGGACAATGAAGAAAAAAGTGGGGAAAAAATACATCCAAGCGCTTTCTGAGGAAAATGTAAGTATATTTTGTCATCTGCATTTATACATATGTATATGTATATTTGTGAAATATTTAGTCAGCTCTTTCTCTAGGTCTAGACTATTTATTTGGTGCTTTATGAAGCACTTAGACATTATATTTTTCTTTCTACTGTCATACTCAGAAATTCTGTAGCTCTTTACAAAACAAACAAACAAAAAAAACCCAGTGTGTTCTCATGCACATGAGTGCCATGGGGTACATGCAGACATCAGAGGACAACTTTTCAGTCTATTCTCCCTTTCAACTTCTACATGGGCTCTTGGATCAAACTCACGTCCTCAGGCTTGTTCAGCAAGTGCCTTTTTCCAGTGTTCCATTTGGTTGGCTTAGTTGTATGTTCTTAAAGGATTACTGCTCCCATTTTAAAAGAAGAAAAGCCACACATCTAGCATTTGAAGAATAGTATACTGTTTAAGTTGTAGCAAGCATCTGGAATCCATTTCTTCTTATTAACAAGTATTATCCCATTTATACATAACCTACATTTTCCACATCTACTGGTGGGTATTTGTGCTGTTTCTATTTAGGGCATATTATAATTAATGCTGCTGTAAACACTTGTGTGTGATTCTCTATATAAAAATATTCTTGTTTCTTTTTGATATAAGGTAGTCCTACATCTAATATTGTGAGGAGTGTGCAACTCCCTGCCCAAAACTATGCACAATTTTACTTACCCAATATTGAAAAGTAAGTGGCTCCAATGTCCCTATATCATTTCAGCTCATGGTATTTTTTTTTAAAGTATCAGCCATTAGTGAAGACGAAGTAGACTCACATTGTAATTTTTCATTTAAATTTCTCTTATAATGGATGATACTGAGAACTTCTAATGTGCTTATTGGTTCTATCTATTTCTCTTTGGAGAAATGGCTATATAAATATTTTGTGTTTTTAATATTTGGTTATTTCCATTTAATAAGTTTTAAATGTTTATATAATTTCTGATGAGTATTTTATCAGATATATGACTTCTAAATATATATCGTATTATTCTATGCATTGTATTTCATTTCTACGGTATTATTCGTACCCCAAATATTTGTAATTTTATAATAGTTCAATTTTCTGTTTTTCTTATTATTTGACTTTTGGCATCATTCTTGAAATAGTGATTAACAATATAATGAAGATTTGTTGTGCACTTTCTCCTAACGTCTTTATAATATTAGCTCTTAAATTTTAGTGTATGACCCATTTGGGGTTAGACATTCTATGTGGTACTTCAAAGGACTAAAACTCCCTTCTTTTTTATGTAAATATCTAATTGACTCAACGCCATTCATTGAAGACCTTCCCCCTTCTCCCCCCATTACATTGTCTTGGTAGCAATGCTTAAAGTCAGTGGACTATCATACGCCACATTGTTATAAGCATATAGATCATAAATATAAAACTGTAAGTATAGACTTTCATGTCTGTATTGTTTACTTGTATGTCTTATGCTTATTTCTTCTTTCGGCCCTGTTCTACTTGAATTCCATCTCCAGTATCCATTCTGTCACAACAATAGTAACCTCTGTGTTGCCAAACACCATGACACTTTTCTTCTTAGTTAATAGGCACAAGTGGTGATCTATTTACATATAAAACTTCTTCCTTTCTTTGAAGATTCTTTCAAGTTTCCTCTTTCACAGAATTCTTCTAGCCTTTGCTTCTGTTTCTCTCTCTCTAAATATTAAGTTTTTCCAAGGCTTCTCATAAAGTCCTGGGCAGTCCACTAACTACACCCTCTCCTCTTTTGTGCTCTTAGACATTATTACACTATTGTTTCTTAAAGTATCTCTAGATATGACTTCTTCACTTGATTACTATATTCAACGGCCTGACTGTTGCATTTGTTTATCTCTGTGAAGCTGTGATTCTTTGCTTGTCTAAGACACCTGATGGTCTAAGAAAGAGTTGAAGGCCAATAATGAGACAGGAGAAAGGATAGGCAGGGTTGGCAGACAAAGGGTAAATAAAATGAGAACTCTTGAAGGAGGGGAGGAAGAAGCAAGCTAGAACAAGGAGAGGAAGACATCAGGGGCCAGCCACCCAGCTATATAGCAAGGGGTGGAATGATAGCGAAAGTAAGATTTATAGAAGGGAAAGATAAAAGTTCAGAGGCAAAAGGTAGTTGGGATAATTTAAGAAAATCTAGCAAGAAACAAGCCAAGGCAAGGCAGAGCATTTATAAGTAAGAATAAGACTCTGTGTCTATTAATTTGGGAGCTGGGTGGTGCGTCCCTCAAAAGCCAAAAGATAAAAGGATTAAAAACAAACAACCACAGCTGACTACTTATTGGGTAGGTACAAATGTTATTCGTAAGTATTGAGTTACTGAGATGGTGGAGGGATCTGGCTACAGTGCAAACACAGTGTCTAATGCAAAGGGGAATAACTGGAGCTGCTACAGAATATTAGTCATATTTCTGTTGCTAATGGCAATACACAACAGACTGATTATTCACAAACAACCTTATTTTGAATCACAGTGGCCACAACTCATAATGCCCTTTTTGGTGGCAGGGTTACAAGGAAACAGGCTATCATGCAGTGACAAATATAGTATGTGTGCAGATGCTTTAGTGTCTATCCCTTTACTAGTAAAGTCACGAATACCCAGTCATGGATCTCTATTATGATGGCCTCATCCAATCCCAATCATCTCCCAAAGGTCATGCCTCTAAATACCAAAGTCAGATTAAGTTTCCCCTTTTTATGATATCACACAGTGAAAATTTAATGCATGTGTAAGTTTTTGGAGATGGCAATTTGGAATCATAGCATTCAGTCTCCAACCCCAAAGTTCATGTGTTTCTCACAATACTCATGAAGATGTAGGTGTCACATTCCTATGGCCACCACAGTAGTCTACAACATTCTTCATGAGCTGTCTCTCAATTACTGCTTTGAGCAATGTTGAAGCAGTAATTGACTACTACGACATTGATACATATACCCAAGGCTACTTATGAGTTCAGTTTTCTTAGAAAAGTACATTTTGAATTAAAGTGAAGTGCTATTTTCTCATAATTCAGGCTAATATAAAAGAATTTCTTCATACAGCTTCAGGTATTTCCGGGTATTTGTTACATTTCAATTGAAGTCTTTGGAATTCATTTTGCTTAAATCAACTAACCTTTCTCACTCTGGTCCAAATTACACATTCTCTCACATTATACAACCTACCCCCTCCACAGTACTTACATGTTTCATGCTAATACTTCCATGTACATATGTGCAACCCCTATAGTCATATAAACACATAGCTCATGTATGTGTTTCTATTTCTAGCCCATTTAGATTAGAACATAATGTGTTAGATCCAAAACCCCCTTTACTCTGTGATCTTGTTTATTAGAGTATCCACAAATTTTAGAAACTTGGCAAGCACCTAGAGCACCTAGGCTGTGCTTTATAAAACTTCCCTGAATGACTGAATGAATAAAGAATACATAAAAGCAGACAATCAAACTAAGTCTGTGTTTATTGTGCAGTTTTATCAATGCTCAGTAATTCTCAAAAATAAGACTATTGAATTATGATATGATGAATATTAAGAAATTCATAGGCTTTGTCCAAACTTTCTAAAAATGGCAAACATTTGAAATGTTTTCAAGAAAATGCAATTTGTTTTGAAATTGTACGTCTTTTCTAATTTTATGCAAGATTTGCTTTTCAGTTGACTAGGTGGCAAGCACAGTATGAGATTTGTAAAGCTCCTGAGATAAGCCTTGCTTTAGAATTGCAAAGTGAGCATGTTTTATTCATATCTAGTGATCTGGTAGCGTGCAAATAACTGACATGAAACAAATGTGCAGAGTTTAAACCTGTAGTATCAGATCTCAAAGGGTTAGCAATGGCGGCAAACAGATAAGAGGAAGAACATGAAGTAACTGCATTTCAACAGAAAAGGCAACAATGCCAACAGATCTAACATATCTGATTAAATAGTCTTGGTAAGATATTCATCTTTATTTTCAAAACTAGGCCATTATAATTGCAGTTGAATTCCTCAATAAACGATGTCTCATCTAGGGAATTTTTCCAAGTATCCTCTAAACTGTTTTCCTAGAAAATGAACTGAAGATTAATGACCCTCATATATTATGCTGATGTATTCATGAGTGTTTTATTGTTTAAATGTGTCTTGCTTCTAGAGTCAGTACAGACAGTGAACATCTCCATGGAAATCTGATCTGCACACTTAACCTCTGATATGTTTTCTTCTCAAGGAGGAGGACAATGGCGAGGAAGCCCTCTCATATCGTAAGAGTGATCCCATGATTAGAACACATACAGAGAAGGCCTCCCTCAAAGCCAGCGACTCTATGGATAGCCTCTACAGCGGGCAGAGCTCATCAAGTAAGGTTAACGCATAAGGGGTGACATCTAAGAAATGAAGCCTGGGCTAAACTAATTAACAAACAATGAATGATCACCCTGAGGTTGTTTATCAGATTAGAAATAAAGATGCTAACATTTGATAATAGAGAAGTTGAAAAAGTTGGATACATTGAACCTACATGGAGTTACTGATGGTGACACATAGCATAAAATACTTGGAGGCTATAGTCTGTAGGGCTCTTGTGAAAATGCCTCCAAACTTGAGTTAAGTAATAAAATCTGATACCAACATTGTATGCCCAGAAAATCTAGTGTTATCTTGAATCAAAATTATAAAATTCTTTGAAATAGAGAAGTAAAAATCTGTTCTTTATTTTTTCCTCTATGTCCCTTCTTTGCTTTTCTCTTGTGTCTGTTCCTTCTTCCTTCCCTCTCTCATTCCTCCTCTTCTTCTCCAACCCTTTTCCTTTTAAAATTTTCCTGATCTTCTGCAAAAGGCAGGACTTCTGCCTCAATTCTGTCATTCACGTTTGCCATTAATAAGGAGAGACTGAAGCAATGAGTAATGGCACATGATAGATCTGTCACCAGTGAGGTGGGAAAGCAGATTAGCAGGCGACCATAGGGATTGCTGAGTCTATCGGTATTTGTCTAAGAAGGACATTACTCAAGATCCAGTCCCATGTTTTGTCTACGATACCGACAAGACAGTACTGACTGTGCTGGCGCCTTCTGTCTTCTATATGTAAACTGTTATCTCTCCTCCAGTCTCTTCAGGACTTTTAAATGTCACTGCAAAGTTTATTTTCCTTTTCCTTTTATATCAACTACTTCTGTTACTTGAAGATGGCTCCCAAAGAGCAGATATTTTGAAATCCTCAATCTTATTCATAGCTATACAACAGTTATTTTGTGGTGAAAATTAATGCAGAACCATTTGAAGGATGTTCAGTGTGTGTGTGTGTGTGGGGGGGGTGTGCGCGCGCACGCGCGTGCACATGTGTGTGTGCGTAAGAGAGAGAGAGATTTCATAAGTATCCATTTCTGCTGAAAGTTTTTAAATTCAAGTTGTGATACTGAATGTGGGAAACATTTTATTACTCCAATCCGTGAGGCCAAGCCTGCACCCACACATTCATCTAGAAGAAGGCATGGGGAGACAGTGTTCCACTTATACGCCATATTTCTGTTCACACACAATGGAGCGTGTCCTGTGGGATTTTTAGCTTATTTACTAATTCATGGTAGTGAATCTCCTATAGCGATGTCCTCCTCTAGCAGCCAAGTGTCAGTCTGAAGGGAAACATGAGGAGACAGAGCATGTGGGAGAAACAAGAAGCCACTTCCCATGGGAACAGAACTGACGCTACAAAAAGGAAACAAACTAGAGTGAACTGGAATGCTCCCCTCTGTTTGCTTTGTTCAGTTTTGTTTTCTTACACCTGAAATTCAAGTTCAGAAAGGAAGGGGAACAGAAAACAAGCATCCAGGCAGTTGAGGATAGCTTGGAGACATTTGGGCAGTCTTCCTCTCCACCCCATGCCAAGCAAAAGCATCAGCTTTTATGAGGCCTTTGGCACACAGAATTTGGGGGAGGATATTTTTTTATAATTATTGTAAGTTGTAGGGAACTCTGATATGTCATATGTTGGCCATTTGTGATCAATAATAACACATAACAATTAAACTGTGTCTATCAAATCCTCTTAATTTTCAAGTATGAAATTATCTAGGTCCAAGTTTGACCTTATAACTTGCTGTAATTTAGCAAAGCATTCTTGTTTTAAATTAACTTGTACTTAAATTAAAAACAATATTATTTTACTACCAATCCCAGTTCCCTCTCCCTCCCTGTCCTCCTAGTTCCCCCCCATTAGAACCCCCTTTCCATTCCTCAGGGAGGGCGAGGCCACCCATGAGGGATCATCGAAGTCTGTCACCTAAGCCCTGCCCCGGGTATCTATGCTGAGAGGGTATCCTCCCATAGGGAATGGGCTCCCAAATTCCAATCGTGCATTAGGGACAAATACTGATTCCACTGCCAGAGGCTTCATAGACTGCCCAGGGCTCCCAACTGACACCCACATTCAGGTTTTGTTCTATGTTGCTTCCCCAGCTGTCAGACCAGGGGCCATGAGCTCCTGCAAGCAGGCATTCGTAATGCCCTTTATGATATATCAGACCAGAGTCCAAAGTGCGACGGCACTGGAATAAGGGTGAGGGGAGTGTTCGGACTGGCAGGGCAATGGTCACATCTAGCTGAGAAGATTGAGGCACTCAGGGAGAGTGAGGGGGAGCTCCATAAGACTGGCGTCCATTGCTCCAGGTCTAACAAGGTGCAGGAGGCTAAGAAGCTTCAATAAGAACGGTTAACCTTTCCTTCGCCAGGTGGAATAACGAGCTGTTCGGATGGAACAAGTAACAGGGATAGTTTTCGACTGGATGACGACAGCCCCTACTCAGGGCCATTCTGTGGCCGTGCCAGAGTGCACACTGACTTCACACCAAGTCCCTATGACACAGACTCCCTCAAGATCAAGGTGGGCCCACCCTTCATATTCGTCCTGCTTTGTCCAATGCTGTTGCACGATAGTTCCTGTAGGAACAACAGTAAGTGGGAAGGAAGGATTACGTTCTTCCCATAGTTGGACTGGCTCCCAGTGGGAAGAATTTGAACTTAGTGTGAGCTGGAGTGAGAGGGATCAGTCTATTCCTCTTCCTTCTAAGGGCTGATGTCAGCACACAGAAGGCACACCCTAAGACTCCTAAACAATTGGTGAAAACCAATTCCCACTACTGGGTATGGGAAACTGTTATCTTCACAAGGATACCTCTGACTTCTATTAGGCTTCCAGCCATGCTGTGAACTCTCTGAGACTTGAAGTCCTTATCAAAGCTCCCATGTGTTGGCAGAATACAGTTTCTAGAACTTCCCTATGAAACTATGCCTTCTTGCCATTAAGGTGATTTTCTGGAGCTCTCATAGAACACAATAAAGATCCCACGGTTCCTGATGAAGGAAACTGAATCAATGCCCGGGTAACTTGCCAACTTTGCTGTAATGTGCAAGTTTAAAAGATACACGGTACAAGACCACAAATGTAAAATATTTACAGGTTATAGGAGAGACCCAATGAAAAACTGCCACACCTAGAAACTTGGTAGGCATGCTAGCCAGTTTGCTGCTCTCCTGGGTGGATAGCATCTGGCCTGCCGTTTCATTCTCACAGGGAAGAGTACAAACACTTAGACCCAAACCCAGAAGCCAGACAGGCAGACACACTATCCCAAATCAGACAGACCATATCTTTCCACCAAAATCATACTCAATTATATATTACTACTGCAAATAAAACTTGTGTTTCACTTCAATCACATTTTCCCAGACCTGCAGGAAAATATAGATTTAAGCATAGCTGTTAGAGCCTTGAAGTAGCAAATATAGAAATCTATGCCATCTATTTGGGATGAAAAGTTAGATAAAAAAGACTATGATTTTTATTTGAGTAAATACGACTCATAAAATAGGCACATATTTTCATAGAAATGAAATTTCCTCATAAAGAAATATCCCCAGGAGAATTTTTACTCTTGCCAATACTTGGATTCTACAGTTAAATGCTAGTTGGCTGGGTCATTTCAATCTGCCTAGTTCATGCTTCACCGAAAACTTTGTTGTTGATTTTGGTTCTACATAATATCTCCTTTTGATGTTATCATAAAGTTTGGGGAATGCCAGTGAAGTTACAACATGTTACCTGGAAAATTGAGGTGTGGAGTTCTTAGTCTCACTAGTAAAAGAACTTAAGAATGGACTCAAAATTGAAGAAAATTTTATTGTAATTTAAAAGAAAATACCCAGGGCAGCAAGTCATAAGTCTCATTAGCCACAGGAAAGAGAAATATGAAGAACAGAGAAAGACATGGCATTGGAGTTAGTGCTGCATGGAGGTCACCTACATGACATGCAAGCCACCACATGGTAGAGAAAGGAAAGCATTAGGAAGAGCACACTTTGAAGAGAGATACAAAGAGGAAAAGGATGAGCTGTGCTTTTCTGAGAACTTCAGACAGACTTGGGGAATTATCTGCAGCCCTATATGAGGGGTGACAATTATGGGAAGTCACATCACTTTACCTCACTAACGGGCTCATTATTCCTCGTCTCCTTTGAGCATGGCTTAAGATGACCCACTTCCCAAGGGGTGTCCCTTTGGCTAGATGATTGGCCAGACCAAACATTAATTCTTTTATACTTTGAGTAGCCTGGAAAGTGAGGTCTCTACCCAGGCCAAAGAGATAGCTTTCCCCCAACGGGTTTCCCTAGGTCACAGATCAGTGCTAGGGTGGTGAGAGATACTGATAGGAAAGGTGTCGTCAGTAACTGAAGAATTAAGCAGCATACCTGGCTACACAAATACTTCCATTGCACATTTAGTAAACCCTATACATTAATTACTTTACCCAGATAAATCAGTTTAAATGAACTTATTCTATACTGTAAATGAACTGTGTCAAATGAGATAAAATCAGAGTCCATGTGTCTTTCTTCTCCCTTTAAGAGCACATTTGAATGATGATGTAATATTTTATTCTTATACTAAATTGGGAAGGGGAATAAAAAGAAACCATTTTTAAGCTCACACAATTTAAGCTTGAGTTCTGACCCCCATCTATAACTTCGTTATCACTTAATATCACTGTGTCTTTTCCTGTAACAGAGCAATAATCTGATACCTCATGCTATTTACTCAACACATACCTAGCAAGCATAAGATAACGGTATATTTAACACACAATGTAAGTTAGTGAGCTAATACGGTAAAGAAGAGAAAAACATCATCAAGCATGTTGGTAGTTTCTTCACTACATAGCGAATAGTTTCGTTGAGGAAGCGAACTCATATCTATTTCTGCAATCACTGGACCTTTAGCACGTTACCCTCATTCCTGTAAGAATCCTACACTTCCATTCTTTTTTCCATATTACCAAAGCATGGTGGTGCTTTGGAATTTGATTCGTGTTTGGTTTTTTGTCCACAGAAAGGAGACATCATAGACATAATCTGTAAGACCCCAATGGGCATGTGGACAGGGATGCTGAACAACAAAGTGGGAAACTTCAAATTTATTTATGTGGATGTTATCTCAGAAGAGGAAGCGGCTCCCAAGAAAACAAAGGCAGCAAGAAGCAGTAAAAGAGAGAGCACCAAGACTCTGCAGGAGTTTCTAGAACACATCCACCTTCAGGTTAGTAAATGTTTGGTCCGCTTGGTTTTGCTGGAAAATTGGTGGGATACGTGAGGGTAGTGGATCAGTATTTTCACAGGGCTGTTAAAAAGTGGGAGTGGAGAGGAATCTGCTTTCCTAGAACTGCTCTTACATCTCCTTTGTTACCTTTACTATTTTAAGGACAGGTCTTGATGTTGCACCCTTTGGACTAAACCCTAATGGTACTTAGCAGACAGTGACAGTAGAGATGAAAAAAGAGAAATGGTGATGGGAATAAAAGAATATTTATCTAGGAGAACAGCAGGCCATGGGGAAATGTCTAAGTGAGAATGATAAAGAGAATGTGAAGGCTCTGGTGAGATTTGAGGGACGGGGAAGAAAAATGAAAGGAAGCTTGTATTTTTGTAGCAGAGAGATGAACATGAAGTACAAAGAAAGTAACTGAAAATAATGAAGTAATGAAAATACCTGGAAATAATCAGGTGAGAAATAGTTTCAGAAACAGTGATCAATAGGGTTCAGATGGTCATTTCACAGGAAAGTTTGTTTTAAAAGCACCTCACTTGAACTCATTGTACCGCTGGCATTCCAATAGTCTGTTTCTATAACCCTAATTTTATTATAGTTGTACCTTAGAAAAGAAATAGCTCTTGTTCAGTGGTATAATAGACTACACAGTACAGTATACACCCTAAGTAGTACCACTCCATTCTCTGTTTTGCATCCCATTTGTAAAATTCACTTCTCAGTACTTGGACAGAGCAATCCATCAAAAAAGTAGTCATTATATTCTTCTTAATTGGTATTTCTGAGTTATTAAATTACCCTCCTGTCTCCCAGCATACTGTTTTAAGTTTCATTATAGAATGCTTGATACAGTGTGATATTCCTGGGAGGAAACATTTTGAAAGCTGCCTCTGTCACCCATGGAAAAATGCTTAAGTGGGTTAAACATTGTACTCAAGATGTCACAGATTGTTGTGCAAGAATGGAAACTTGGGTAGTTTGTGTTATTTTAAAACACACTATTTTAAAACAAATCATCATTCTTCTTCCCCCCTTTTTGGTTAAAATGAGGTTTTTAATAAGTTTTTCTTGATTATATAACACTTTCTGACATCATATTCAAATTTAGTAACTAAAATAAAGACACTAAAACTATGGTCAAGTAAAACAGGAGAAATTTTTGAGGAAGCTAAGAACAATTTGACTTCACTTTGCATATTCAGTTTCCTAGAACAGTGGTTATAGAAATAACATAGAACAGTGGTTCTCAACCTTCCTCATGCTGCAACATTTTAATACAGTTCCTCATGTTGTGTTAACCCCAACCATAAAATTACTTTTGTTGCTGTTTCATAACTGTAATTTTGCTGCTGTTATGAATCCTAGTGTAAATATATGATATGAAGGATATCTAATATACAACACCAGTGGGGGGGGTCACAACCCACAGGTTGAGAACCACATAGATATTTTATGGTCAGAAGTCTATGAATTTTATACTAATATATGTCATTGCAAATGACAGACAATACCCCTACTGAGGAAAGGAAATAAATACTTTCTTTAACTGTGATTCATTAGATAACATAATACCTTGCAATCAGTCAAAATGCTAAACTTATTTTGTATACAGAATTGTGTCTGTTTCAAGCTTTTTTTTACTTTTTACATTTATTTATTTATTCTCTCTCTCTCTCTCTCTCTTTGTGTGTGTGTGTGTGTGTGTGTGTGTGTGTGTGTGTAGGGACAATTGCAAGAGTGGATTTCTTCTCTTACCATTTATGTATGTCATCATCTTAGGCAGCAAGCAGTTTACCTACTGACCCATCTCACGGGAGCTTAAGTTCATTTTTTAGCTACTCTAAGAAAATAATGAGATTAGATGCTTTCATGACCAAACAATCAAAAAGAGAGACTGGTTCAGAAATATTACTATAATTTAATTGATTAGAGATACTGTATCAAAAAACTTAAGACAAATCTGTATCAATTTAACTAGGTATGAAGTAAAAATGCCAGATCAGATGGACAATTCAGCTGGTGAATGATCCATGATTTCCCACTGTTCAAGAGCCAAGTGATTCCTTCTTCTTTACAGCTGTCCTTTGAAGGTTAAGAACTTAACAATACTTTCTATTACATGCCCCAGAGTTTGTTTGTGGAAATGAGTGTAAACAGTGTAAATAAAATGAGCTTAGGCAAGAGTTTCATTGATGCTTTTTGCTATCACAGGTATTTCTATAATTACTTTCATTTAGATAAAACTCAATATTTGAGCCCTACTAGTTTACAGATTACATACATTTCCTTCCTCCCACAGGAATATACTTCAACACTTCTGCTCAACGGTTATGAGACTCTGGAAGATTTGAAGGATATTAAAGAAAGTCATCTCATTGAATTAAACATTACCAATGCAGAAGACAGGATTAGGCTACTGTCGGCTGCTGAGAGTCTCCTGGATGAAGAAAGTAAGTGTACATACCCATTCTTCTCCCTCCTGATCATTATGCCTTGATATAAATAGTAAAACTCTTAAAAGGAAAGACCCAATGTCACTTACTAAGAATCATATCAAGCATTCTTCCTACAACATGAGAAACTTTCATATAATACCAGATACAACTCTGGTCAAAATGTGTAATTGGGGAAAAGATTTTTACTTGTATTTTTACAAAAGGAAAAGATTTCTCTGGGCCTTTTGTTTTTGTTCTCCCAAGAAATTTATTTACACACACGTGGATGCCTGTACTGTCAAAGACCATGGGACCTAGCGACAACTATTTTACTGACAGCATGAGCCATTATTGAGAAAAGTCACACATGTCTTCTGTAGAACAACACAGAGCCTGGCTGGCACTAAGCTAATGAGATATCCCTTCATACAGGAAAATTCATTTCATTACCATATAGTCACATCTTGTGTGTGTTTATAATACTCTTTGTAAATGTTATAATAGCTTGCAAAAATATTCAGCACTCACCTTTATTATCAGCGATGGATCTCTGTATTTGTAAATATAAACTAAAGATGAAATAATAAATGCTGATTCATTTATGGCTGAGTACAAGTTATGCTAGCTGGGTTATAAAAATCAAATAGCTTTTATTTTTTACAATTGCCCATTCAGGGCACTCTTTCTATTAAGTCTAGTCAGAACTCAGAACCCTGAGTTTAGGGAAGGCCAAGGACTGCAGAGTGCTTTGCCATGGAAAAAGGAATGGAGCCTCTCTCTAAACAATGCAAATAGTGCAAAACTAATCAGATATGTATATATAGCTATGTATAGTTGTTGTCATTGCTGTGTGTGCATGGGAACAATAATTGTAGATGGGGATGGGAAAGCTTGGTGGGAATTGGAGGAGGAGGGGTGGAAATGATATGAACATAGTGTATTCATGTATGGAATTCTCAAACTTTTTTTTTTAAAGAAAAAGACAAAAAAGTGAATGGAATCTAACTCCAAAGCTTAAAAACCATATTTAGAACACTCCAATCCAGTATTCTCTTTCAAAACTAAAACTAACATTAGCTTTTAACTATTTTCTTCAAATGTAATACTTTTAGTAAAGCTTCAGTCCAAAGTCCCCATGGTTATTATTTTCCTGTGTGCTGTTGCAGCTCAGATAGACAGCTGAGAACCTAAGGCAGTACGTGCCTTGTACCTTGAACAAGGTCCTAGTGATTTTAGAGATAAGATTCCAGCCTAATGTCTAGGAAGCACTGCTGGGATTAACATTACAGAAACAGTTCAGATGGCGAGCAGTGGGGAGTCTGTATATAGAACCAGACCTCTCGACTTCCTTTGTGGGTTATCCTGTACCTCACTTCAAAAGTCCTGCCAAACTGAGGTGTAGTCTGGCTATACTTGCTTCATGTGTGGTAAGAATTAATGGACTTCTTCAGCAACAGTTTTACTTTTTGCATACTTGCAGTCTTGTGCGTGCACAGATATTTATCCTTTCCCAATGTCTTTGGTATGCATGACTAACCCAACGCTAGTAGAAATTATTCTAGACCTGGGTTTTAAAGTTGTGTTTGAAGTTTTGGGGACTGGGAGATAGGCACAGGAGGATGCAGTCTCAAAAGCAGGCAAAGACCGACTTAGAAAAGTAGATGGCTTATCCAGTAGCATGAACCCAGATAAAATCTGCCAGTGAGAATCGATGCAGAGATAGCTATTAGGTAGAATAAGCAGCTTCTTTTACACCCTGTCATTTCAATTCATGGCTCCTCACTAACCAATGCATACTAAGAAACCAGTTCTGGAGGTTTGTTCTGTTGATCCAGTGCAGTGACATAGCCAAGCTCCCAAAGGATGTGACCATGAAGTACAATGAGGGAGAAGAGTGGCTCTCAGGGTTTGAACATACTTGCTGTTCTCCTACAATTCAAAACACCTATCTTATCCTATTTCCAGCTGGGGAAAATAATCAGAAACGAATTTCGAAGAAGTCAAATAAATAGATGAGAAGGAGAGGTAGGGCTGTGATCAAAGGCACACTGCTGTAAAGGTCAAAGTAAAGGTAAAAATAGATAAATAAATCTTTTATATTTTAACACAAAAATTTCTGCTACTTTCTCAGTCTCCTAAAGGGTAATATTCACAAGATAGAAAAAAACTAGAACAAGAATAGCCAAATAGATTTTTCAAGCCATATATCCAGGACTTAGTCACCTATGCCTATGTGATTGTATGTTGCAGTCATTCCTGGTCCCTGAAAAAACAAACAAACAAACAAAACACACAAACACACCATGTGACTCTTTTGGACACATAAAGAGGACTAATATCAGAAATTATTTCCCTGTATAAGACTTTTTCCAATGTGGTACTTGAAAGTCAAGCAATGCTGAATCTTCAACAATAGCCTTTTGTGTGTAAGCATACACACAGAGTCTACTTTCAGCAGACAGATAATAGAAAAACCCAGATTCGACTTGTGTCACTCTCAACACACAACCCCGAGATTATTCTTATTTTAATCTTAGGGTATAAAGTCGTGTTAGGATATACATGTCAAAAAGATGCATATTGTATGTTAGGCTACTCTGACTGAAAGCCATTTATCTTACATGAAACTGCTTTGCTTATGAAATGAAGAAGAACGGCTTCCATTTGTTGATAAGATGGTGAATTTTGATGATACAGCACCATGCTACTGTAGGCTTGTTTTTATCTGTCCTTCTTTGTGAATCATATCTTCTACCACCAACCTAAAGATTAAATGCACAACCTTCATGTTCCCTGGATGATGAAGACCTTGAATTTATGGTTATTTAAAAGTATGATACTGTTTAATCAAACAAATGCATGTCATAGTTGCAGGCTAAAAATAGCTCTTTGAAAAGAATAGGGCATAAGAATTAGCCCCATTTTATGTATGTGTCTTTATTACTATTTTTGGATAACACCAGTTCAGGTATGTCAGTCCATTCCTAGTTTGGGGTTCCGTTCTTAGGTTGAACATTTGGAGAGTTCTGGCTTTGCTACACATTCAATATAAAAATTAAGCAAACTGTGCATACGTCCAAAGTATTAAAAAATAAAACCCCAAACCTTGTGATAATCCAGGAAAGAGCACATGCCCAGTGTGAATCCTTAATATATGTGGAGTGTGAAGGAGGACAGGAGACAGGACAGGGGGTAGGGAATGAGAGGCTATGACTTCAATCTTTTTTTTTCATTTTCTCTTAGCCCAGAATAGATAGTTTTGTTCTAACTTTGACCTTTATAATTTGAAGTGGATTAAATATTTTAGGTCACTACTCGGTGGGAGGAAGACTCTTCACCAAGTAGCTGATACATGGGCAATGGAAGGTGTTCAAGCCAGTCACGGGTTTACTGCTGGACAACGATGACTTTGGAGCTCTGCTGTCCGAGCAAGATAATGAGGGGTATTCAGGGTGCGGTGCGCTACCATGTTGCATTATTGCTACACAGACAAAGGTCATTGACTCTCTCACCTGGGGATGCAGATAAAGTGTGGGGCAAAAGGACTGTAAGTGAGGCCTAAAAGGGTCAGAGAAAGCAGGGTCTGTTTATTTTGTATAAATGGGTTCATTTGTTGATGATTGCGCTTTACATTGGTCTTTGCTTCTGGAGGAAATATTCCTACCAACTTGAGGAGGTGTGTGTGTGTGTGTGTGTGTGTGTGTGTGTGTGTGTGTGTGTGTGTGTGAACATGTGTTGCTGGAGGTTTTCTACATACAAAATCCTTAAAGCCCCTTTATCTTACTCAGGAATACTTCCTTAGAATAAAATAGTTAACTGCTGTTTATAATATATTGTTTCCATTTCTTCTGCAGTTTCTTTCAGTACATTTGAAATCACGGTGATGTGTCTAACAAACAAACTGTGTATGACTGCACTGGGGGTGAGGGGTGATGAAAATACCTTCCTTTCTAAGCATCCAGGGCTAAATAAATTTTAAACTATAAAATTATGGTAACAAAATAAAGAATCTTCACAGGATTGGTATTCAGTATATTTTAGATACTTGTTAATTGTGATTTCAGTGCCAAATGAGGAGGAAGGGTGAAGGATGGTTATGTGCCAGGTTGTTGGCACAGGCTGTGGTCACAGCAGCTCCTCATTGCTCTACCATCCCCAGTTGTGCCTTCCTGCCTGCCCAAGTTGATGTGGAGCAAATGGAAGGGCCCTGTCAGTAGCTGGAACAAGAGCCGCCAGCAGGGGAGATTTGCAATGATGGCAGACAGCGGTCCAGCAGTTGGTCCAGCTATGTGCCAGTCTAGCCTGGAGTCTAGCCCCTGACATGTGTACCTGGGCTTTCTAACCCATCTGGAATATGACTTGAATCGGGATACAAAAAAGAGATACACATTTTGAGAAAATATACAATAATTGCTCACATAAACCAATAGAGACAGGTATTTTATTGGTATTTGTTTACATATTGACACACACACACACACACACACACACACACACACACACTTAATCATTCACAGCTGCTTGCCTTTAGGATTAGGTTTCTCCAGATTTATTTTTGTTGTTACTATCTAAGATTTCATTTAAGGCAAACAGCATATTACTTTTTTTTTTTTAACCTTTCTTTTATTTTTTTTTCTATTTAAATTTGAAACAAGCTTGTTTTACTTGTCAATCCCAGTTCCCTTCCCCTCCCCATCCTCCCTTGTCCCTCCCTCAAACCCCATCCCACCTCCTTTCTGCTCCCTAGAAGGATGAGGCCTAGGCTGAGAGAGTATCCTTCTATGTAGGATGGGCTCCCAGAATCCATTCGTATTCTAGGGGTAAATACTGATCCACTACTAGAGGCCCCATAGACTGCCCTGTAGTGAGGTAGTCCTTCTGACACCAGATATTGTGGTTAATAAGGATCAGGATAAACAAATAGGCCGAATAGATGTTTATTCAGGGAGAAATAACTTACAACCTAGACAGATGAACACCAGGAAATTCAACCGGATCCCCTCCTGTCCGAGTCA